CTTCCCTGAGCACCATCCCTCTTTCTTCTCTGATGTAGCAAAGGCCTCAGCCAGCCTGTGGGTTCTAGGGTGTTTGTCACCTCCTCGACCATCTGCCAGCAGAAGAGATGAAGTCCATCTCTACTGCCATGTGCCTGTTTCCCACTGATTGGGGGCTTAAAGTGACTGCCCTCGTTACCACTCTCTGCGAGGTGGTATGCAGAGCCGTGTAAGGGAATGGCTTTCCTAAGTGCCTATCTGTCTCTCTCCTTGCCTCCCTCAGCTGTTCTTGGTGTTTATGTCCGGCGCTCTGGGAATGGGACTTTCAGCTGCAGAGTCAGGCACTGATTTTTCAGGGCCTCCTATGCAGATGTGTCCACGGATATGAAGTGTCGCAGCTTTCCTCCGACCTGCGGGGCTGTAGGGAATGAAGTTGGTGGGGCTGGGGAATGAGCTGAGTCTTGTTAATGAGATGCTATTATTAGAACACTTGGTTATCTCATTGGGGTGTCCTTCCAACCTGTGAGCTGCCTTCCAGGGTGCACAATGAGACACGTTTGTCCTTGGCTAGAAGTGGGGTGCTGAGACCTTGAGAAAGGGTGAGACATTTAGTGGTCTGTGGTGGATCCCTCTGTTCTCAGCAGTATCTTGTTGCTTTTCAGGTTAACACAGGAGTGTGATTGCCTTCCGGCTCTGAAAGGTGTAAGCCCAAGGAAGGTGGGACTGAGGGACAGACCAGATCCCCTCACTGTGCACTAAATCACAGGCAATCCTCTTGCCTCGCAGGACTCACGGTTCTCCCTGAGTGCAGCAGAAATGCTGAGGTTTTCTGACATCCAACACTCCCGAGGTGAGAAGAGGGGAGCTGTAAAAAACACCAGACTTCTCTAAACTGCCTCCTGCCATTCCCATTCCATAGCACTGGGAATGAAGTTGCTGCCGAGACCTTCTGAATTAGGAGTGGTTTCATGTAACAAAGTCAGACACCAGCCCTGGCCCCTGGTCCTACCATTCCCATGAACCCACTGCTACAAAGCAGGATGGACTCCTCAACAGCCAGCAGGCAGAGGGCCTGTTCCTCACGGCATGCTCAACCAGATAAAAAAAGATACACATGCAGAACTGGAGGAAGGCCTTCTAGAAAAGGAAAAGACGAGGTGGGGGAGAGTTGGGGAGCAGGGTACGTAGCAATGGAGCAGTCGATGAGAAATAGCTTTCCTTTTGCTCAGAGAGTTCTCCCCTAACTTCTCGCTACCTTTTCCTTTTTGGATAGTGCACCATGCCCAAAGGCAACAAATGTCCAACAGCAGCTCCATCACTGAGTTTCTGCTCCTGGCATTCACAGACACACGGGAGCTGCAGCGCTTGCACTTCTGGCTCTTCCTGGGCATCTATGTGGCTGCCCTCCTGGGCAATGGGCTCATCATCACCGTCATAGCCTCCGACCACCGCCTACACACCCCCATGTATTTCTTCCTCCTCAACCTCTCCCTCCTCGACCTGGGCTCCATCTCCACCACTGTCCCCAAAGCCATGACCAATTCTCTCTGGGACACCAGGGATATTTCCTACTTGGGATGTGCTGCACAGCTCTTTTTCTTTGTCTTCTTGGTGATAGGGGAGTATTTTATTCTTACAGTCATGGCTTATGACCGCTATGTTGCCATCTGCAAACCCCTGCACTATGGGACCTTGCTGGGCAGTAGAGCTTGTGTCCAGATGGCAGCAGCTGCCTGGGGCAGTGGCTTTCTCTATGCTGTGCTGCACACTGCCAATACATTTTCACTACACCTCTGCAAAGGGAATGCCCTGGAGCAGTTCTTCTGTGAAATCCCCCAGATCCTCAAGCTCTCCTGCTCAAATGCGTACCTCAGGGAAGTTTGGCTTCTCATGGTTAGTGGCATTTTACTCTCTGGTTGTTTTGTTTTCATCGTGCTGTCCTATGTGCAGATCTTCAGGGCTGTGCTGAGGATCCCCTCTGAGCATGGACGGCAGAAAGCCTTTTCCACGTGCCTGCCTCACCTGGCTGTGGTGTCCCTGTTTGTCAGCACTGGCATGTTTGCCTACCTGAAGCCCCACTCCATCTCCTTCCACCTGGCAACCACTGTTCTGTACTCAGTGGTGCCTCCAGCAGTGAACCCCCTCATCTACAGCATGAGGAACCAGGGCCTCAAGAGTGCCCTGTTGAAACTGATTAAATGGATGCAGATTCACTGACAGCAACCTACCTCCCCTTCTCTGCACACTTCCCAGAGTTTATCTAAGGCCGGGATTCTGCTGTTGCCCCTTGTGATAATCATATTTCTACACATTTTTCTGGGTTTATACTGCTTGTCTTGAGGCTCGACCCTGTGTTCCTGACCCTTGCACAACACTGTTTCGTGTGTGATCTGTCCAAGAGCAGCTCTTCAATAAAAGGGGATTTCCAAGGTGCAGTGCATAAGTCTGTGCTCTTCCTACAAAATTGCTTGCAGAATCATACTCACAGAATCATTTAGGTTGGAAAAGTCCTTTAAGACCATCGAGTCCAACTTTTAACCTAGCACTGCCAAGTCCACCACTAAACCATGTCCCTGTACGCTACGTCTACACATTTTTTAATAACTCTAGGGATGGTGACTCAACCATTTCCTTAGGCAACATTTTCCAATGCTTGACAACCCTTCCAGTGAAGAAATTTTTCTTAATATGCACTCTAACCTCCCCTGGTGCAACACAAGGCTATTTCCTCTCTTCCTATCGCTTGTTACTTGGGAAAAGAGACTGACAGCCACCTTGCTACAGCCTCTTTTCAGGTAGTTGTAGAGAGAGATAAGCTCTTCCATGACCCTCCTTTTCTTCAGGCTAAATAACCCCATATTCCTCAGCTGTTCATTGTAAGTCTTGTGCTCGAAATCCTTCACCAGCTTTGTTGCTCTTCTTTGGATGCTCTTCAGCATCTCAATGTTTTTCTTGCAGGTTAGAGTAGTAGGTCCATGTAAACCTCATGATGTTCTACAAGGGCAAGTCAAATGTCCTGCACCTGATTCAAGGAAATCCCTGCTGCCAGTAAAGCCTGGGAAATGAATGGATTGAGAGCAGCCCTGCAGAGAAATACTTGGGGATACTGGTTGGTAAAAACTTGAACATGGGCTGGCAATGCGTGCTTGCAGCCCAGAAAGGCAACCATATCCTGAGTGGCCTATAAAAAACATGTCCAGTAGGTCGAGGGGAGTGATTCTCCTCCTCTACTCCACCCTCCTGAGACTCCTCCTGGAGCACTGTGTCCAGCTCTGGCTTCCCCCAGTACAAGAAAGACATAGACCTGCTAGGGCAGGTCCAGAGGAGGGAACGAAAATGATGTGATGGCTGGAACACCTCTCCTATGAAGGGAGATTGAGAGAGTCAGGGTTGTTTAGCCTGGAGAAGAGAAGGGTCCAGGGAAACCACCTTTTAGCCTTTCAGTATATAAAGGGGGCTTATGGGAAAGATGGAGACAGACTTTTTACCAAGGCCTGTTGCAACAGGACAAGGGGCAACAATTTTAAATTGAAAGAGTTTAGGTTTAGCTTAGGCACCAGGAAGAAATTTTTTTACGATGAGAATGGTGAGAAATTGCGACAGGTTGTGCAGAGAAGTTGTGGATGCCCCATCATAGGAAGTGTTGAAAGTCAGGTTGGAGGAGACTTTCAGCTATCTGATCTAGCAAAAGATGTCTCTTCCCATTGCAAGGGAATAGGACTATGTGATCTTCCAAAGTGCCTTCTAAACCAAACTGTTCTATGATTCTATGAGACGAGACTAAAGACATCATGTGCACGTCGTGAGATGAACCCAAGTGAGCACAAAGGCCATCAGCTATTCTTGAGGGTGCCATGAAGACCTGTGGAAAAGGCAATGTCTTGAGGTCAATTCATATTGAGAGTAACGTCCCTGGGGAAAGGCAGCACTGGGATGTACTTCCTTGAACCAAGGTTCCTGTGTCCATTCCTCATGCCTTTGGGCGTCTCAAAGGAGAGCAAAGCAGGACAACACACTGAAGGGCTGAGGTGCTTCCAACCCTCTGGGAGTCGCAACACGAGGCCAGAGAGACACTACAACTGCTGTAATGCACGCCTCTCCTTCTGCAAAGGAAAGTCTCCTGTCTCTGAGCACTCCTGTGTGCACTCGAGAGGAGTGCACGAGTCCAGCTCAGTTGTGGACACCTGACAGAGTCAGGTCACACATTTCTGTGTCTTACTCCAGGAACAATCCCCACTGTCCCCAGGAGATTCACCTCACCCACCTTGGACATGTTGATTGCAAATACTCCTGTCTGCTCCACCACGCTCTCTTGCCTTTTTTGCCTGTGCCCTTGAATACACAGTATGAAAGAATCTTGCCTGTGGAAGATCTCACCTATGCAGTCAGGAGAAGTCCTGCAAGGATGAGCAGCATTGCTCTGTAGAAGGGGGCATTTCTCACCTTGTGCACAGAGGACATCTATGGAGTATGAATACACTCAGAGGCACACACATCTCCATGTTTCACCTCTCTGAACATCCTTCACAATTTCTTTAAGCCACTAGCACAGAAACAAGGTGTCCTACCACAAGAGAGCTAACAAGGACCTAAAACCTTCAGCGGAGAAAAAGGAAAGGGATAATCATATGTCATCTATGGAGTTTCCTCTACTGCAAATTGGGAATGTCCCCAAGTATTAGAGAAATCCTCCTCACTCTCATGACCTGCTCCATGGCCGGGATTGGGAACACCCTCCTCATTGTGCTGGTGGTGTGCAACCTGAAGACCTGCTTCAGCTCCACCACTCGGTCCCAACTGCTGGACTGACTGGGGACAGCACCATCTCTGCTCACAGCAGTGTTACTTTCTGCACTTTTGCATGTGTTGAGTGTTTTGTGCTGGTGGCCACATCCTAGGAAGAGTACTGGGCTGGGTACCACCTGCTTCTCTCTGCAAGGCTCCTGATCTGGAAGGTCCGTATCCAGAAAGAAGCTGCACCTTGTCTAGGGGGATTTCTGTCACCTACAGTAATAATTGCATTATTCTCCCAGATACAGGTCTGTGATCCCAGTGGAGTGGACTACCTCTTCTGTGATTTCACTGGAGCTCTCATGCAGTGACACCATGATGTTCATGCTGTTTGCGGTCATAACGTGTTTTTTACTTCCAGTCCACCCCTTCCTGTTCACATGGGCATCTTACGTGTGCATCATAACTGCCAGTCTGGGGCAGCTCTCCCATCCATCATGGGCAGACGGAAGGTCTTCTCCAGCTGCTCCTCTCACTTCACTGGTGCCACTGTTTTCTGCAACACCCTCATTGTCTGTGTGATGCCCAGAAGAGCCCTCCTTACATCATTTGACAAAGCCCTTTTTCTACACTATCCTCCTGTCACTGCTCAATGCCCTCAACTACAGCCCGTTGACCAGAAAGCTTTGGGGGGTAGGGGGACACTGAGAAAAACGCTCAGAAGAACTGTGAGCTGCACATTGGAGTTGTGGGCCTGCAGGAAGAAATCACTTCTAGTTCTCTTCTGAACAAGCCCAGAGGATCAGGGCAAGTGTGTGCTATTTCCCGGGCTTTGCTCTGGATGTGTGTGGTATATGGAGAAGGCTTTGGTTGTGGGAAGCGCCAGAGAGGTGCTGGTGGCCAGCATTATCCTGAGACCTCTCTCAAACATCCCGGAAAAGGCAGAATGGTCAGAGAGGTTCCAAAGTCCTCAGAAAAGACAACTATGAAAACCCATCTTCAAAAAAGGCAAGAAAGAGAGAACTACAGGCTGGTCAGCCTCACCTCAGTCCCTGGGAAGCTGATGGGGCAAGTCCTCCTGCAGCCAGCTCCTGGTACTTGAAGAACAAGATTACTGGACATGTATGGGAGGGGAAAGTAGGCAATGTTGCATGCCTGGAATTTAACAAGGCCTTAGACATGGTCTCCCATGGTCTCCTTATAGCCACATTGCTCATATCTGGACTGAAGGAGTAGATGATGATGTGGGTGGGAATTGTGCTGGATGATTAGGCCCAGATATCATCAGTGGTACCGAGTCCTCCAGGCAGCCAGTCACTTTTGGCATACCTCTGTGATCAGCACTTGGGCCAACACTGTTGAACATCTTTATTATTTCCCTGTATGATGGGATGGAGCTTACCTTCAGCTCTTTTGGAAATGATGACAAGCTGAGGGGAGCCTTTGAGATACCTCATCTAGGTCACCCTGCCTTGAGCAGGAGAGTTGGATAAGACAATGTTCAGGTCTCTACCAACAGGAGTTAATCTATGGTGTAAGGAATCCTTCCCTTGGAGAACTCATTGCAGATAAGAGAGGCAGAGGAAGGAGAAAAGACAGAGCAGCAAAAGTAGGTTGAATGTGCCAATACAAATACAGAAGTTCCTCTGAGTAGTGTTTCTCCATTTGAACCATTGGTAACAAAATTTATTTTGGTAAGTGGCTGCATAAAACTATTCGCAGAGTGAGAGAGAGCATAATCAGCTTGCTAGTACATACCTTTGGTGCTGTTGAGAGAAAAAAAATGAAAAAATATTGAAAATTCATATAAAAACCAGCAATGCTGGAAATGAAGACTTTTTCAGCTATTACATTGAGTTCTTTACTGCAGAGGCTTCACATTTTCTGTAAAATATACATTGAGGGCGTGATGCAGTTATTCACACAGAGGTTGCCAGTGCTTCCAGGATGCCCTCGGGTAGCTGAGGCACCCATGTGGGAAACGCGTCCCAGGAGATACGGGAGCCCTTCTGGACCATGAGCTGGCAGGCAGGCAGAGTACCTCACAGGTGGTGGAGGCCATCGCTTGCCTCAGCACTACTGGGGTGGCTGAGCAGTGACCTCTCCAGCACAGCAGCACATTGTGTCCCCTTGGATGATGACTGTGAGGTCACTTCTGACTGGCCAACAGCAGGGAGACAGATCCTTGGACGACTTGAAAGCCCCCAACAAGGTGAAAGATCTAGGCAAGTCAAAGGTAGCTGGGACAAGAGAGATGGGAGATTTAGGGGAGGGAAGAGGAGTTTGGCCCACAGAGATGAAAGATTTTGAAGAAGAAAGATGTGTTCAGGTAAATTTGGTGCCACTGTGACACTGACTGTGAAAATACTCATGTCAGGCCTTTACCTTATTTCAAAACAGTAACCTTAAGCCCTACTCCAACCCCTAAATGTCACCATTCACCCTAACCTCAAACCTTACCTCTAAACCAAAGCCCAAAACCATAAACCCTTACTCTTCCCCTATTACTAACTGTAACTTCTAGCTTTTATCCCTAACATTAAAATGTTGGCCTTAGCCCTAATGCTTAACCTGGCCCCAAACGAAACTCTGATCCACCAAGTACGCCCATAACGTAACCAGACACCCTCAGCAGGACACCAAACTCTCCATCTGAGCCCAACAGGACTGACATATTTGTCCTCTTGGCTATGGCATCTTTCTCTGCCATCAAGGCCTACCAAGAGAAACTTTATTTTGACACTCTGGACTTAATTTCTTCCTCACTCCTGCCTGAGGAGGCCAGGAGGTGTTGGACACTTTTCCTGCACTTGGAAGTGCTCACTCTCACATTCCCCTGCTCCCAGGAAGAGCCCTGAGCCACAAGTGAGGGACAGGATCTGCCTTCCCAGGTCCTGGAGGACAGGGCTTGGCCTTTCTGCTTCATAAAATGAACCAAGGGTTTTCACAGCGTTACAGCCACCTGCACAGCACCTTTGCCTACTCATTATCACAGTCTCCAATTATCTGCTCTAACGAGTCCCTGGGGAGGCTTTGTCACTAATGGTCCTCAGTGGGACCTCTTAATCCTTCAAGGTAGTCTGAGTTTTGCTTCCAACTTTGACTTCTTTAGAGGGTTATTCAATCTCTTCTCAGTATCTGAGGTTCATGGTCTCAGCCTCAAATACACCATGGGGCTTATTAAAATACAGAAAGCCCTAATGAGCTCTCCCTTCCTGTAGGTTTTCTTAATACTTGTACAGCTAATTGAAAAGATTTTACTGTGTAGTTAAAAAGGAAGACTCCAAAGTGCACCTAATAAAAAAACCTTTTATTTAAAGGGAATATTTTATTCCTTTTCAGTTTAAAGAAGAGGTGATAGCATCACTCTCTAATTGATACTGATCCAGAGTGTCTCCTGATGAGGTGTGGACAGGTAGGAAAAGTGGTCCCTTGAGGTTAGACATGGTATGGACAACCTTGCTCCTCACCTCTCCAGCCCCACTATTTCCCTCATTGGCCTCCTGGGAATTACATTACATTTTCTTTACATCAGAATTCTCCACTGAAGTCTGCACCTGGTTGTTACAGCTTCTTTGCAGCAATTCCTACCAGCTGTCCTTAGAGAACTGAATGGAAAAAGGCACAGAGGGAGTTTTTTTTCTTGGGGGAAAGAAAAAAAAAGAAAAACTAAAACACAATAGAACTTAATCAACAATATAACACACTCAGCTGTGTGGTTAGTTTAAGCAACTTCCAACGAGATCCATCACCACAGTTGAAGAGTTGCCTATAGGGAGTAGGAGAAAGACTACTGAAAGAAAATTAGGACTTACCTCCCTGAAGGTCAAAGCAGGGCGATAGGTGAGAGGGATCTGAAAGATCGAAGTGGAGAAAGACATCTGGAGAACAATGTAAAGTGCATATGTCCGGATGAGCTTCTGAAGAGATTACTTCAGACATGGTGAGTTTAACGAGGACAGGTAGAAACATCTGGAAGGTTAGGGACATCAAATACACAGCATGATAGACAGCATACTGATGAGGCAAGCACAGGGTAAGGTCAATATTTCTTCTCCCACAGTACACACACATTTTAAAAATTCCTATTTTGGTGGGGTAGAAATTCCACAGACATATTATGGAAAGTACTGGATCATTTCAGCTGATGAAAAAGTGATTTTTTTTCTTTTTTGTAAGTACTGACAGCAGTTCTCAGCTTTTCAGGCAGAGCTTCACGGTATGACCCTAAGCACCCAGTGCAAAGCTATAGAGGTCCCGGTGTGTCTGAGGTATTTGTCTGGGACTGGCAGTTATCAGAGAAGACTGAAAGCGCCGTGTCTCTTCCTTCATTTACACCTAGACTTCAAGATTTACACACTTAATTAGATAAGTTTCAAGAGCGTAGTTAAAGAGGAAGGTACTTAGAGAGCACTGTGAAGAAGTGGTAGAATAATTCTCCAATTGATATTGACGCAGAATTCAGTAAGCACTTAATAAGAAAGGACTTTTGTCTATTTAGAGTGTTTTTCATTACTTTTAAGTTTAGAGAAGTGTCTCCAACAGATATTGATTCCTTTTGTCTTTTAAGGAGGTCTGGGCAGGGAGGAAAAGCAATCTCCTTGAGGGCTATCACTGTATGGAAAACTTTGCTTCTCACCTCCCCAACCCTGCCATGTCTCCATTCTGTGGTTGACTGTGTTAGTGAAAAAAATATATCCATGCAACATATGTAGGGTTTAGATCTCTCCAAGAGCAGATCTTAGATTTTCAGTCTATCAAGAAGTTGACCTTGGATCACCTCATCTCCCCAGCTACCCCAGAAACAGACAAACACACACACGCAAATGGGTCTGGGATGGACCATTCTTGAGCTTGAAGATCATAGAATCATAGAATCATAAGATATCTCAAGTTAGAAGGGACTCATAAGGATCATCGAGTCCAACTCCCTGCTACCTGCAGGACTACCTAAAACTAAGTCGTATGACTAAAAGCATCGTCCAGACATTCCTTGAACTCTGAAAGGCTTGGTGCCATGACCACTTCCCTTGGAAGCCTGTTCCAGTGACCAACCACCCTCTTAGTGAATAACCTTTTCCTAATGTCCAGTCTGAACGTCCCCTAATGCAGCTTCATACCACTTCAACGTGTCCTATTACTGGTCATCTGCTGCTCTGCTTGAGGAAGTTATAGACTGCAATGAGATCCCGGCCAAGCCCCAGCCATGTCCAATGAAGCAGTCTGCAGACAGCCCTGCTCTAGCGTCTGTCAAGGTCTGGGGAAGCAGAGAGGCAAAGCAGGGCTGGCTGTTCACCTGACGCAGGCACCGAGTCCAACAGGAGGAAGAAGATGGGCAGAGAGCAAACCTTGTGCATAAAATGGGATGAGTGGCCAGTGCTGGAAATGGCGGTGTGAGAGAAAAATGCCCTGGACACCTTCCCAGTCTGTCC